CTTCTCTTCTCTACAAGGTCTTCTCTTCTCTAGAAGGTCTTCTCTTTTCCAGACTGAACAACCCCAACCCTGTCAGTTTTTCTTCATAGGAGAGATGTTGCAATTCTCACAATTTTTGTGGCCCTCCTCTGGAATCATTTCAGTTTAAAACTATTAGCCCTTGTCCTATCACTGCAGGCCCTGATAAAAAGTCTCTCCATCTTTCTTATGAACTCCTTCAGGTTTTGAAAGGCCACAATAAGGTCTCCCTGGCTTCTCTTCTCTAGAAGGTCTTCTCTTCTCTACAAGGTCTTCTCTTCTCTAGAAGGTCTTCTCTTTTCCAGACTGAACAACCCCAACCCTGTCAGTTTTTCTTCATAGGAGAGATGTTGCAATTCTCACAATTTTTGTGGCCCTCCTCTGGAATCATTCCAACAGGTCTATGTCTTTCCTGTGCTGAGGACACCAGAGCTGGACTCAGTAGTCTGGGTGAGATTTCACCAGGGTGAAGTACAAGGAAAGAATCACCTCCCTTGAACTGCTGGCCACACTTCTTTTATGCAGCCCAGGATCTGATTGGCTTTCTGGGCTGCAAGAAGATGCATCATCTTAATGTAGAAAACAAGTTTTTCTGAAAAATGGTTGCTTTTGCCTTTCTAATATTATGACAGGATCATCACAGAGTTTCTTCTTAGGCAAAATGCAACTTCTCACCATTTGCCTCCTCTTGTATGCTACATAATGATTTATGGAAAATCAAACAGGACTTAGGAGGGATCAGAGTGATCTGATCTAAGCTACTGTTGGTCTTGGTTTTAAAATACTGTGCTGTGTGGGGAGGGACTATATGTTTGGGGTTTTTTCTAATTTTATTTCTTCCAAAGAGATAGTCATGAAAGAGGAAGTTCTCAGGATAAATATTGACTATTTTATATACAGTTATGTCTTTGGTAGAATTATTACATCCTGTTTCAGAACAGGGATGGAAATTTCCCCTATGTTTGTACCTGTTGAAGAGCTCTGGAAGTTTTACATTACTGCCAAAAAAGAATTCTAAAGAAATCTTGTAATACTTGTGCACTCATGAGTAAAGAACGTTGCAAACTAGGGGAACCAGGAAAAGTCTGCACTTAGCAGTACGTGAAAGAATACATAGTAGAATGCAAAATGAGAGAAATATGAGACAAGCTTTGAAAAAGTCAGCATATATGCTTAACAAATGCCACTGTCAAGGACATGTTTATGAGAGCTCTGGCCTAAAAAGTAGAATTTTGGTAGTAGAAAAACTTCTGATGATTTGAGGTTTATGAGGGGCATGATGGCTAATAGTTTGACATCAAAAAAAATATCTGAAATTACACTCTGAAAAAAATCTTTCAGATTTCTGTGAAATGACATACCTTTGATCTTGCTGTGACTTCAATTTTGGGTCTTAATGCGTGTTGTGTGAGAAGCCTATTGGTATTTCTTCACTTAGTTCTGAGTAGGTGATCTCACTTTTAGGATGCAGTGTTCAACAATTTTTAAACAAATACCTTTTTCCCACAATTTTATTTTAATTTCCTCCAAGTGATACTGAGGTCCATCTGTTTTTTATTCATGGAATAGGATGGTTCAAGAAATGCTCTTATAGGCCAGAGTTGTGGTCCATCTGTCCTCGTGCTTATTCTATTGCAACAGGGCATGCAATTTAGGGAGAGCACATGAGTCTCTTTTCTTCCTGTAGTCCATTTCATTCGTACTCCCTTGGTGTCCATTGTTTTTGGGGTTTTGCTGTCAGAGGGGACATTCCTACCTGTATTCTTCAGTAGCTGTTTATGGACCTTCATGAATTTGTCCTTGAGCCTAAATTATCTGGTAGTTAATCCTTTCAGTATTGTGGTTCAGGGAATGAAGTTAAGTGTTTGGATTTCTGAGAGTTAGCCTGACTTCTGGTTTCTGAGCAACACATAGGATGAAAAGTATTCATAATGACTTCTGCTATGGTAAATAACTCAGTGTTGATTTGTTCATGTTTGTGGGTTCAGTGATATTCTAAACGTTCTGTAGTTTGTATTTAGCTTGGGATTGAAAGTGGTTTGGATGAAAACCTTCTCCAGCTATCCCCTGTCATAAGGAATATTGTCCCAACACTTTGCCACATGAAGAATTGTTCAAATGATTGTATGTAAACAGGATTGGTGAGACCTGAAGAAAACCTTCAGGAGTATGTGTTGGCCAAAACTGAAACTCCTGAGAGATTCAGTCCAGCCTATTATTTGCTGCAAAAGCTCTGGGCTACACCTATCTGAACTAACACTTCCCTCATAAAGCAAAGAAACACTGGTATAGTGGTAACACATTTTCCATTGTAGAGCTCGTATTTGGAGGATTTAACATGAATTCTTAAGCTATAGAAGTAGTCAATTTTTAAATATTAATCCACTGTGAGACCACGGAGTATGGTATGGTAACTGCACTGATTTATCTCTGGAGGTGAGGGAGAGTATTGACTTCCTTCTGATTTTAATTTCTTCTTTGTTAAGCAAATTTCTGTAATTGTTCCATTGGAGAAGATGATGACATAAAATATGTATTTGTGCTTGTTTGATTTTAATGTTTATCTTTTACTACTCAAATGTTTCAAGGTTCTTGCTTAGAACATGTCGTTAAGCAGCTTTGATAGAGATGGATTGCCAAAAAGCATTCTACCTACTTCCCCAACTTTACATCCTTTTATTTATGATTGATCAAAATTCAGCATCTTGTTTTCACTTCTGAATGTTACAACAATCTGACTTCCTAAACTACCTGTTGCTCTTTCTCATGTTCTAGACTAGTATATCAGTTGTCAAACTGTAACCCTGTCAAATCATTATACAAACATTTTATTTTTGAGGGGAAATTGGGCTACTTTCTAGTTACTGTGGATTTTAAAGGTGTACTAGAAGAGCCATTTTCAATACGCACTTCAAAAGTACTGTCAATTTGGAATAATCCAGAGAAAACTTCACAATTTGGAGACTGCGAGGAATTAAAACAGGACGGAAGTCTGAAAACATAAAGTTATATCTGTGGTTATGATTGCTTCTGCTATTATCTGGTATCTTTTGACTCTTAAAAAGGAAACTAAGGAGCTAGTTATATTAATAAGCCACAAAATAAGCTGTTCAGTTGATCCAGTGTAGGTATCTCCAACTGAAGTATTTGTTTAGATATGGTCAGTGAAGAATATTTCTAGGACACAACAGATTTCATCCAGTCAGAGTCTCTATAAATAGATAGATGAATCATGCTGTAAAGTGTCTCTCTAATTATAAAAGGGGCCTGTGGTGACTGTCTCAGAGGTGCTGCTTAAAGCTAGGTAAGATGAATTTTATCTAAAATGACTGAGACATCAACATGGTATGTCCATAAACCAGGTTTATGCCACTTCAGAATGTATCAAGTTACACCTTTCAGATAGTGAAATAAAATTATTAATGCCTCCACGTGAGGCACTGCAACAACCTCCCCACAGGAATGCTGCCCAGCATTCAGAGCACCCAGGTGCAGGAAGCTTGAACTTAGTTGTAACAAACAGAGAAAGGCTAGTAAAATGAATAGTGGGAAGGGAGACATTATTGTGAGGATCCTAAAAGCTTTATTTCTGTTCAATAAAATAAAGGCCAAGAGAAAAGATATGCTGTGGGGAGAGGAGAATTGCAAGCAAAGGAGAACAATCATTTAATCTGAAGAACAGAGATGGGAGAGAAATAACTGGCAGAAAATCAGACTGAAAGTTAGAAGATTTCTAGTCATCAAAGCAGTAGCGCTCTGGAGAAGCCTCCCAATAAGTTGGTTAGGTTTTGTTTTTCCACACGCGTCTAACTATTTGCAAGGTAGAAAATGATTCATTTATAAAAGGGAATGTGAAACACGGTTGCCTCTGATAGCCTCGATATGCCACCACTTTGATCCTAGAAGGGGTTGTGTATGCATGGCTGCACTTATTGAAGTGACAGTAATTATGCTGTAGATATGCCTATACTATCAATGTGAATATGTTGTGGTGCTTCTTTAAACTTGTAATTAATACTAATTGAGCTCTCAGAAACTAAAGTGTTCCTTGTTTAAAAATCCTGTGCGTTTGCTGAGTGTAACAACAGTTTACTAACATCCCACTTCTTGAAAAACTCCATGTTAATGAAAGCAAAGCACTAAATGGGATCTGCTGGTAACAAACGGCTCAGAGGAGCTCTTACTGCGTAAACTAAGCACCTTTTGCCAGACTGGTGCTTTTGCTATGTGTGTTTTCCTTTTTTATTATATTTATTGTGCTAGAAATGTGATTATAGATTAATACTTTTTGCAATAAATTCTACTGAACTACTAAGTTTGCTTTTGCTGTGAAGATGTTAATAAAAATGAGAAAAACTAAAGATTTTGTGGATAAATTCAAGCTATTTCTTTTCTTACAATCTACAAAGAGAAAAAAAGTATTTTCACGTGCTAAAATTCAGTAAAAAAAAAAAAATATGGCGTTGGCTGCCACTTTATAAAAAGGTAATAAAACCGTGACTTTATTTGCCTCCCTAGCTCAGCACACAATTTGAGCGTGCAGCCAGCGAGGGAGTGACCCCAGGTTATAACACCACGAAGGGCCTTGTGGGGCCTTCCAGAGAGAAGATGGTGGGGGATTAAAATAATTTACCTTCTTTGTGGGCTGCTGCCGGCCTGTGTCGGCTGCAGCCCGTGGAAGGGCCAGGCCTGAGGGCAGGCCCTGCGCTGGCCCACGGCCGAGACGGGCCCAAGCTTTGCGGCACCCGCCCGTTTTGTTGCTTAAACTGCTGGTAGATGACAATTCCCGTAAAGCTGTTAACCTGTTGAAGTTTGTCAAGCCTTGAAAAAACCAAGGTTCCTCTTTTTCTTTTGGTCTGCGCACTTTGCCATGATGGGATGGATATAACATTAATTTTCAAATAACCAGGTGAAACGCGGAGACTCGGCCATTGTATTGCGCAAGTCCCCTGCTTTGTTCTGATGCCCTGTCTCTCTTCCAGGGGTCCAGCTGCCTTCCCCCTTCGCAGTGAGGCCGTGTTTGCCACGTCGCCAGCCACAGGTAATGTGGCGCAAGTCCCCTGCTTTGTTCTGATGCCCTGTCTCTCTTCCAGGGGTCCAGCTGCCTTCCCCCTTCGCAGTGAGGCCGTGTTTGCCACGTCGCCAGCCACAGGTAAGCCCTGAGATCGTTTCAGACCCAGCACCCAACCTCTGGCACATGGTTCCGCGGGCGGTGGGGAGTTAGGACATGCTCCCTCTGTGTTTGAAATGGCTCCCCATGTGCAGGAGCGCAGCCGTGGTGCTTATCCTGACGGCACATCGCTGCCGGGGCGCGGGGCTGGACATGGGAGGGAGCCAGGGGCAGCCAGCACCATGTCAGGCTACACGGATGTCCCTCAGGCCAAGGCCTGGGCCCTGCTGTGATGGAGGCAGGGTCGGGCCCACTGTGGTGGCCAGCAGCCGTGGCCCAGCCTGGCTGAAGGCCCCAAGGCTCGCTCCGGTGGGGATGAAGCTCAGCACCGGCAATGCCCAGACTAGGTCTGAAATCCCAGCACCGTTACATTTGATGGGAGTTTTGTCGTTGTCACCTTCACTCAGATGAAAGCTTCCCCATGAGCTTCTAAGAAAGGTTAAATGCCAACCCTCTCACTTCTGGGATGGCTGGGATCGCCTCGGTGTGAGTTGAAATATTTTTCCTTACAGATGTGACTAATTGCTTCACACCTTTCGTGAAGAGTGATAGTGTTTCAAATCAGAATGTGCCGCTGGACCATGCAGTTTAAAGTCTTTTAACTTTTTACATTTGGCGCTGTTATTCCCTTGTATTTTGTCTTTGAAGCAGGAAAGGATTGATTTTTAATTTAATCCACTAATTATCTTCATAGCAAGAGTGATTAATTCCTGAAACAAACTGTCAAAAATTGTGCCTCTTACCTAGTTTAAATGTGACTAACTTCAGCTTTGAACCATTGTTTTCTGCTGGCACTTATAGCTCGTACTTGTTTTCATATAATCACTGCTACACATTTGTTCAAATCAGCTAAAATAAATCTGATATCTTTTAAGACTTTAACTGTAACACATATGCTCCAGTATTCAGTTTTTGTTGCTCTTCCTTCACCTCTATCTATTTTTTTCCATATCCTTTTCAAAACATACAGGAATTTCTAAACATTACATTCTAAACATTGGTAGGATTACTACTGAGACTGCAGCTGGAGGAAAAAGCAGTTTTCTGTAGCTCCTACTTTACTGGCCCTTTGAAAGTCACACAGTTGTGCTAAACCCTTTATGCTGGGACCTTATGTTGAACAGTGGATCCCTGAGCTTACTGCCTTCACTTCAACAGTGACTCATTCAGTTTGTCTTTCTGATCTAAGGATGGATTTTGAGTGTGTGGTTATTCACACAGGTTTGCATTCTCCACTTAAAACCATTTTGGCTAGGTTCATACTAAAAATTCCTTGTTACCTTTACTTTTCCTCTTCCTTCAGACATTAGAAATAGTTTACTTTTACGGTGGATTCTGCTAATACCTCCATATGATGTGAAAGTGCAATCTCAGAAGAATATCAAGCCATATCAAGAATATCCTTTATCTAGAGATTGTCCTCAGTTCCAATAACATTGATTTGGGATGCCAGACATCTATTACACATCCATGTAAATTGGACTTACATTTTTGGTTTATGTAGAGGAGCTGGCGATGAAAAGGGAAATATTCGGGAATATTTCCCATAAGTTTGAAGGACAAGTATGGCTGTCTGCTTAATGCTGAATTAGTAAAAAGTAGTCATATTGTTGTATTCTTGAAAAACAGTAATTCAACAGCATATTTAAACTGTAGCAGGTAGTAGAGGCCTAGCTTTTCTATGAGATAAATTGGACTTCATTGCAATGACACTCCTAAAGCCAGGCTTGATGGCAACACTCTTTGGCTTTCATTCACTTTCCTCCTTTCTCTTCCCAAAGGTTACACAATCATAATTTCTTTCCCTCCTGCTTTTGTTTCCTCCTTTTACTGTGAAACTTTTGTTAGATCTTGGTTCATTTCTTTCATTTTTATGTGTCTAAGATCAGTTTCTTTTTTGCTGTTCTTGTTTTCTCTCATGCTTCTGTTTGCCCATAAAATCTGGGTAAATTTTTTTGCTTTATTTTTGTGGTGTTTTCTTTCCATCACTGTACTACCATTGGTTGTTTGTTTTTTTTTTTTTGCTATCTGGAGACAATTTTGCTCTACTTTGTCTTTCTATCTAAAAGCTAAAAATCATGAAACAAAAAAGGATCTGAATCTGTGCTTGTAGGATAGAGGAAGCCAGCTGTCCAAACAGTCTGCATATTTGTTCATAAATTTATTGAAAGATGAGTGTGTTTTATTAATAAGAATGTGCAGTTTTACATTTTCTTTGCAGTTGGCATAGAGCTGAATATAAGCCCACTTAATCACTCTGAATACTAGTATTAGTAGAATAAAAGTGAAGTCCTCTTTTTATACTATATGAAGTTTTCTTCTGGAAAATGTCTTTCAAAAATAAGGAGAAGTTAAAGAAATAAAAGATGAACAATAATCTTTTGGCTGGAATCTATGGACGAGTTGCTCCAAAATATAGATATGCTAGAGAGCAGTTGCTATCCACCAGATTACATTATTTTTACAGTGCCTGGACTATGGTGAAATAAACTTTCCTACTCTTACCAGTAGAAGCAATTGTTAGGTCCCACATTAAAGGCAATTTCGCTTTTTCCTCCCTTCTTTGGAGTCCTTTAGACATTTTAATTATTTGCATATATTGTAAAAGATTAAGTTTATTATGCAATAGAAAGTTTCCCGGTCATTTCTGTTTGGGAATTATTCTTGGAAAAAGACAATGACTGGAAATAACACCCATATTTCTCAAATTTGATGAAATCACAGTATAATGAAGAAATAACAATATGGGATTATACATTTAAAAAAAAAAAACCTTGTAGCATACATTGATCAAAGTTGAGTTTAGGTCTTAGTAGTAAACTTTATCCTCCAATTTGTCATTAAATAGAAGGAAACTGGAATAGCCCTACATGTTGAAAAAAAAAAAAAAAAGCATTTCCCTATTACGGAAAAACCCAAATATAAAGAATGCCATTGTTTGCTGCACATGTGGCAACCAGTCTGGTTTATATTAAATTGAAGTTACTGCCATCTGGTGGGGAAAATAGTATTATATCACTGCAGTTGGAAGTAATTCTGTTAGTGTTACTTTCTCTGTTGTGTATGTGAATATTGTGTGTATGTGTGTATGTATACGCCCCTATATATATATATGTATAATATTAGCATTTGGGTTTGATTTTAAAAGAATTTGAAAACATTCAATGATACAGGATAGCCTGCTGAATCAGAGATCTGTCAAGGGTATAAAAATGTGTGAAAGAAAATAGGGGAAACATAAGAGGTAGATCAGAAAGACATGCAAAATGTATGCTGCAATACTGCCAGTGCACCCACACTTCTGGCCTAGATTAACATAGATAATCATGGACAACACTTTTCCCTAGAAGATTCCTTTGTACTTTGCACAGCTGGATATTTTACATTTAGTGCAGTGTTTTGTGTAACACTTCTTATTTAGAGATGACCACTAATTATTGCTGTAAAAACATCTGGAATATCTCTGCCTTAGTGCTCCATTCTTTACTTACATTTTCTCTTTGGTCTGGTAAGTTTGTTGCTCCTTGAGTCTTGACATATATTTGTGTTAACTATTGGCTGATTCTTGAAGGATCAGCTGAACAGGAATGGATTTGTATGAGTAGGGCATCAGGGAAGTCTGTGGGGCATCTTACAGATATAAAGTTAATTAGATTGTCTTCTCAAGAAGCTAACACTCTTATGTTAAATCTAGCAGTGCAGTGAATGGTAGGCAAAGTGGTAATAGAATAAGAGAAATTCAGTTGTGGGGGACAGTGTCAGATAGCTATCTTTAATAATAAATTGCTCTGTAACCATATGGAGATAATAACTAGTATCCATAAGTTGTTCTTTTTTTCATTGCTATAGTGTCTGAAGACTCCAAACAAGATTAGGTCTACTTTATGTACAAATATTAAATAGACTTTGTTCTTGTCATACGCTGTGCTTTCTTCTGGTGGAGAACAGAAGTCGTTCTTTGCTCTTAATCTGCAGAATAAATAGCCTTTTCCTGTACTAAGGTGGCACACCTCACTAGGTTTATATCAAAAGCAGATCTTTAACTGGCATCTTCTCATGCTAAGAGTCAAATAAAAGTTTAGGGGTGCATAGAGTCTCACAGGGTGCATAGTGGCACGGTCAAATTCCCAGCACTGCTGTGTTGTCCAAAGTCCTTCAGTTGCGTGCTTAGCTTTTGACGGCGGCCCAGATGTTACCAGTGTGCAGGTGCTGGGATTGGCTGAGGTTAGGCTAGAGGATGGCTTCAGCGTTGCTTGGGCTTGACTATCTCCAGGCCCTCAGTGGCACATGGTTAATAATGAACACTAGGCAGAGGACATCAGTAGAGCCGAGGCCCCTGGACTCTGAGTCCTGCTAATTTCAGGTCACTGAGGAGGCTTGCTTCAGGCCCTTGTGAAGATCATACCTTATGCTGAGCTGGACAAGCAGAAGTCAGTGGCACAGTAACATTAGATTCCTCTTTAGCAGATGCTGTCATCTTGTATTGTCTTAAAAGAGATGTATTATTGCGATGACATTCTCTCCACTGTATTTTGGGGGAAGGAGGGAATGTTTTTCTGCTGTGGATATCTTGCTTTGGTGGGCTTTGTAATGCTGTAGTCTACACCAACACCTTGTTTCTTTGGTTGCTTATTGGTCTCAAGAGAGACATCCCAAAGAGGCCTGCTGAATGCTTGTCTGATTACATGTTACATTCCTGTAGACCAGCTAGCTTGAATTGCAGGAGCTCACTTGGTTGATAAGATTTGGGATTCTGCTTCTCATATAGGTGGAATTTCCATTGAGCATTTCCATGAGCAGCTTATGAGATTGTTGGTTTATACATTTACAAAGTGCTTGGTCAAGTCTGGTTTGTGTGGAAGCCACATTCT